CTTCTCCCTTATCCAAAATGGCCGCCAGGTAACTTCCGGTTTCCGGGAAAACGTCTCGACGTCACTCCACCTTGACGCGTTTCGTCATCGACTTAGTCATAAGGGGTGTAAGCGTCAAGCAACACAGTTCTATTTAAACCCCGTGTGTGGTTAAACTGTGTAAATGTACGTGGATGAGAGAGTAAATAAATAGAGTGTAATTTGAATAATTATATTAATAATAATAATAATAATAATTTGATAATTAATTAGGAAGTATTCGTTGGGTAGATTATATATATTATATATAGAATGTAGATTATACTGATAGCTTGTAATAATTTATTTATGAATTATGGTCTATTTATGATGGTACGTTTGGGAGATTAATTTTAATTATTTTACACAATTTGAATGGTGTATGGTTTTTATATATATGTAGAGTTCTTCCTTAAACAATTAGGCTGGAGTAAAGTAATTTTAGATGGGTAGATATTTAGATAAAAAGGACCCAAATCCACTATAATAATGTATTCAGATTGAGGTTATGTTATAAAAGGAAATATAATTATATATAACATTATATAGAATGTGATGTATGTATTTAAGAGACTAGATGATTGAGGCTTTAGGGGTTAATGATGTATTTTTATGTATTAAATAATTATGTGGTTATATATTATATATTTATAGAATGCTAATGAAAATCATGAGGTAGAGTTTTGCAGTATGGTATGTTGGTGGACGATTTTTACATTAGATAATATATGCCGGATCAGCTGTAAGCAGTTACCGGATAATACTGGCACTGCTCCCATCTCCAATATGGCGGCGAGTGTCTCGGCGCCATGATGAGGAGGGGTTTAAATAGAACTGTGTTGCTTGACGCTCACACCCCTTATGACTAAGTCGATGACGAAACGCGTCAAGGTGGAGTGACGTCGAGACGTTTTCCCGGAAACCGGAAGTTACCTGGCGGCCATTTTGGATAAGGGAGAAGATCGAGCAGGAGTGACGGGACGTGTCTCCCTGGATGACCGTGAGATTCCTACACCTTCTGTACTCCCTCTAATGCGTTTTAAAAGCCTTGGCAATGTGAGCAGATTCAAATAAAGTGTATGTTATTAATTTTATTGGCGGTATCACACTATGTCCTGTATGTTTTTTTTGGTGACACTGTGAGCAGAGTGTCTGAGGAATCCAGAGAGTGGGGTGGCTGTGGGACACAGCAGAGGTTCCTGAGTGGATCAGCCTGTGGAGTTCCTGGATTACTATAAAGCCTATTATATTGGGAAAGTTGGTAAGGGTACCCTTACTGCATTTAGAAGTGTACACACTTTTAGTATTGGAGTTTTTGTGATGTGGCACTGAAATAGTGTTATGTACACTGAAGTGGTTTTTCACTGATCACGTGTGGTTCACGCTTTTTTCACTATTTGTCACCCATTTTCACTGTAGGAAGTACAGATAAAGTTTTTATATATATAATTTTAAAAAGGATAATGCACTATATGAGTTTTTTTTTTTTTGAGGTGGACTGTTTTTTGGAATATCGTTGGAAGAATTGATGGGACATTTTAGCGTATTTGCATAAGATTTATCGTGGACTATATATTGGTAGTGGATTTACTCTATGGAAAAATTGGGTATTAATGTGATTGTAATTGGTTTTTGGAGCATTTGTTAAATAACACTGTCACGTATATATGAGTACAATACCCACACACCCCTACATTTTATGCACTACCAAAATTGCATAAACATTTACAACATCCTCCAGGGCAACCTATTATATCAGGAAATGGCTCGTTAACCAAAAAACTAAGTAGGGTGGTGGATGAATACCTTACACCACATGTTACCAACTTACCAACATACATGCAAGATACTATCCATCTTTTACAACAAATTTAAGGTTTGTCAATACCTACAGTGCATCCAGAAAGTATTCATAGCGCTTAACTTTTGCCACATTTTGTTATGTTACAGATTTATTCCAAAATGGATTAAAATCATTTTTTTCCTCAACATTCTACAAACAATACCCCATAAGGACAACATGAAAGAGGTTTATTTTGAAATCTTTGCAATTTATTAAAATTAAAAAACATAGAAAAAAAAACACATACACATACTGTAAGTATTCACATCCTGTTCCCACTTGTCATCCTTGAGATGTTTCCACAACTTGATTGGAGTCCATCTGTGGGAAATTCAGTTGATTGAACATGATTAGGAAAGGAAAGGCATAAACCGGTCTATATAAGGTCCCACAGTTAGCAGTGCATGTCAGAGGACAAACCAAGCCATGAAGCCCAAGGAATGTCCGTAGACCTCAGAGACAGGATTGTATCAAGGCACAGATCTGGGGAAGGGTACAGAAAAAAATCTGCAGCAATGAAGATCCCAATGGGCACAGTGGGTTCCATCATCTGTAAATGGAAGAAGTTTGGAACCACCAGGAATCTTCCTAGAGCAGGCCGCCCAGCCAAAATGAGCAATCGAGGGAGAAGGGCCTTAGCCAGGGAGGTAACCAAGCACCTGATGGTCACTCTGAAAGAGCTCCAGCGTTTCTCTGTGGAGAGAGGAGAACCTTCCAGAAGAACAACCATCTCTGAAGCACTCCACCAATCAGGCCTGTATGGTAGAGTGTCCAGACAGAAGCCACTCCTCAGTAAAAGGCAAATGGCAGCCCAACTGGAGTTTGCAAAAAGGCACCTAAGGGACTCTCAGACCATGAGAGAGATCTGAAAATGGCTGTGCACCGATGCTCCCCATCCAACCTGATGGAGCTTGAGAGGTACTGACTGCAAAGAAGAATGGGAGAAATTGCCCAAAAATAGGTGTGCCAAGCTTGTAGGATCATACTCAAAATGACTTGAGGCTGTAATTGGTGCTAAAGGTGCTTCAACAAAGTATTGAGCAAAGACTGTGAATACCTATGTACATATGTTTTTTTTTTATTTTTAATCAATTACAAGAGTTCATAACAAAGTTGAACATCAATGAATTCAATCTTAGCCTTATCATGTCTTGTAATCAGGAATCTATTCCATTCCTTGATGTATTAATTCTCAAAAATAAAGATGGTCTACTGACCAGCACTTTATACTGCAATAACACAGCTGGGAATAAAATACTGCACGCTCAAAGCTTTCATCCAAAGTTCTTAATAAATTCCATCCCATACAGCCAATATGTAAGACTCAGACGAAATGATGATTACAAATTTAAAATCAAAGCAGATCAGTTAAGAGACAAACGTCTCGCTAGAGTCTATTTGACTTGTCTCAAGCAAGCATTCAGATGTGCCAAAAATAAATCAAGACAGGAGCTATTACACTTGAAAAAAGAACAAAATATTAATAATCCTATACAAATTGCAATCAACATATTGAGTTGAAAAAAATCATAGAAAAATACTAGCACTTACTAACCTGTGATCCACAAGTGCAGAATTTGGTTTTTGATAAGCCAACATTCACATATAGACGGGCAAGAGCAATAAGAAATTATATAATTCAAAGTGCATTCAAGGGCAAACAATGCAAAGATCCATGCAAATACCCGGGTTCATTCATTTGTGGTAGATGCAAGTATTGTCAGTATATGAATACCAGAAAATCTACCAAGTTACCTAATAGTGAGAATATATACCACCACCAGACACTACGCCAATTGCAAAACCTTAGGTGTAGTATATCTCTTAACCTGTGATTGTAATAGTTTCTATGGGAACAAAACCAAGATGCCATTTTGCAAAATTGTATATAGACACATACCTAGCATGAAGACTTGTAATACAGAATTGCCACTAGGAAGACATGGTAAAACATACATGGGGGTATCTTTCCACTGGTACATTTTTTTTATACTGGATAGAATCCACCCACCCCCTCCCAGGGTAGACTGGAGCAAAAGTCTCCTTCAATGCAAGTCGAGCTGGATCCACAGATTAAAGACCAATGTACCTCCTGACGTCATATCATTTAGACCATTTCTGGAAGGTTTTGTATCAGGAGGATGGAAGAATAAAATATTTGATAATCAAATTCATGTTTTGTCAAATTTATAAATGTGTAAATGGGACCCTCTATTGCATTCCCTTGTCAATAATTTATTTATGTATAGATCATTTTAAGCATTCATTTTTCACAGTATACCATTTGCTTGTTCTTACAGTACTTCCTGCCTAAATGTTGTATTGGTTAATTTTTTGTAAAAATGTTTTCCATCTACTCTTAGGGCTGTTCATTGCAGGAGCTCATTTAATTTTTCACCACACGGTGCACACAGGCAGCAGTTGTGGGCAATTTACACATAGTCTGCAGCCTTACTGCCCCATTGCAGTGTACATATGCCATCGTGAGCACGAGTTTACGGTTTTCTGTTTGAGCTCCTGTGTGGTCTCAATGTGCTTCAGTAGGCCGTCAGGTGTGTGACATCATCGCACCAATAATGTGTGATGTTATTGCGTCGGCGACGCATTTGCAGCTTGGTGGCCTCCTCCTATCTGGTACTGAAGGTTGATTGGTCTTCCAGTCTCTCCAGGCACCCCTCCCTCTCCCTTCACCAATATTGATTGGTCTATTGCTGACTAGTACACATATAAAATGGGCCAGCCTTTACATGCACATGAACTTTAATGGCATCCCAGTCTTAGTAGATAGGGTTCAATATTGACTTGGCCCACACTTTGCAGCTATAACAGACTCAACTCTTCTGGGAAGGCTGTCCACAAGGTTTAGGAGTGTGTCTATGGCATTGTTTCATTGTTTTGACCATTCTTCCAGAAGGGCATTTGTGAGGTCAGGCACTGATGTCGAACGAGAAGGCCAGGCTAGCAGTCTCCACTCTAATTCAAAGGTGTTCTATTGGGTTGAGGTCAGGATTCTGTGTAGGCCAATCAAGTTCCTCCACCCCAAACTCTGTGTCTTTCTGGACCTTGCTTTGTGCACTGATACACAGTCATGCTAGAACAGGAAGGGGCCATTCCAAAATTGTTCCCATAAAGTTGGAAGCATGAAATTGTCCTAAATGTCTTGGTATGCTGACACCTTAAGAGTTCCCTTCAGTGGAACCCCTGAAAAACAACCCCATACCATAATCCCCCCTCCACCAAACTTTACACTTGGAACAATGCAGTCAAGCAAGTACTCTTCTCCTGGCAACCACCAAACCCAGACATGTCCATAGGATTGCCTGAAAGAGAAACGAGACCAGTCACTCCAAAGAAGATGTCTCCAATGCTCTAGAGTCCAGTGGCGGTGTGCTTTACATTACTGCATCCGATGCTTTGCATTGCACTTTGTGATGTAAGGCTTGGATGCAGCTGCTCGGCCATGGAAACCCATTCCATGAAGCTCTCTAGCTCTGTTGTTGTGCTAATCTGAAGGCCACGTGAAGCTTGGAGGTCTTTAGCCACTGACTCTGCAGACAGTTGGCGACTTCTGTGCACTTTGCTCTTCAGCATGCGCTGACCCGCTCTGTCATTTTACATGGCCTTTTATGTTGCTGTTGTTCCCAGTTGCTTCCACTTTGCTATAATACCACTAACAGTTGAGCGTGTAATATTTAGTGGCAAGGAAACTTCAAGGATGGACTTATTGCACAGGTGACAATCTATCACAGTACCACTCTTGAATTCACTGAGCTCCTGAGAGCGACCCATTCTTTCACAAATGTTTGTAGCAGCAGTCTTCATGCCTAGGTGCTTGAATTTATACACCTGTGGCCATGGAGGTGATTGGAACACCTGAATCCAATGATTTGGAGGGGTGTCCCAATACTTTTGGCAATATAATGTGTATATACACTATATATATATATATATATATATATATATATATATATATATAATATATATATATGAATGTTGGCTACTTACTAGCTCAATATCCTATTCCAAAATGTCTTCTGTTACCACGTAGGTGGATGCTTGCTCAGCATTAAGGAATCCCTGAACCCTGATCATACGGAGACTTTAGCGGAGCCTGAGACCACAGTGGGGGGAGAAAGTCCTGATCAAGTCATACCTTGGGATGCTGCTGCTTCACTCAGTACAGGAATCAAGTCTTGGTACATTACTTTCATTTAATGCAGATAAGGCACTAAGTGAGTTTAATTACCACCTTAATCAGCCACATAATCTGTGTAATTAATATGTGTTCGGATTTAAAGGGATGAGGTGGCAACCCTACCTTAAAGGTTCTAAGCTATGCCTCAGCACACAGATATTGGTATCTCATCACCCAGATTTCGATCATTGCTTTTTTGATTTAGAGATACTTTTGCATGTCCTTTAAGCAGCCTTCAATTGCTTAAGCTCTGCTGCTGGGTTTATATTCAACAGCCAGAAAAAGAGGTGGCCAAACCAAGCATAAAGGAAACCAATTTTGCTCCCCTTGGCATGGACAGCTCTTGACGGCTTTATATTACTCTGATATTTTTTGTCCGCAGTTAGAATATAATAATAAAATGTGCTTGTTGTTTTAAATACTGTACATTATTTGTTACTGTTCTTGAACTACATTTAAAAATATCTTGTATGTATAATCTTATGTTCTATATAATATCAATTTTAAAACATTCACGACTTAAATCAAGTATCTAAAGGAAAAGTGCTAGTCAGATTGCTAATTGTAGACAATATAGATTTTATTTTCAAAGGCCCGTTAAAATATTTTGAACTGCTTTTTCAGGGAAGGTATAATAGTAGTGGTACTGGACTGGCTCTGGGGAAGTATCAAAAGTTCCTAGCAAGCAAAGACCAAGTGAACATGCTAAAAAGCTATTTCAATAGCACCATCTGCTGAAAATATTTAAGTATGACAGAAAAGGGTTACTTTTAAAAGCAACCAATGGTTCTCTATGCACTAATTGAATGCAATCTATTTGACCCAGAAATTAAAGAGCAGTAAATATAAAATATATGGAAAATCATATTAATTAATTATGATGTAATAAATTCAGATGTTATATTGCAATAATTATATAGAATCTAAAAATAAACTGTGCTCTGGTACTATAAAAACAACCAAAAAGCTGCACACACAAACTATATAATATCCCGCCTACTTTTTAAGAATAATAAACTGTGTTTTTGTAATAATTATATACTTTCTTTTGTTTGTTTTTAGCATATTGTAGTTCACTTTGCATAGTGGAGCGTGTCATTTGGCATCATTTTTATTTTTAACAAATAGATTTTATTGAGCATTTTGAATCATGTAAAAAATACAAGAAATAAAATGGCACATACAGTTGTGCTTAAAAGTTTGCTTACCCTGGCAGAAATCATGAAATATTGGCATTCATATTAAAAATATGACTGATCATGCCAAAAAAACTTATTTAAGGACAGTGATCATATGAAGCCATTTATTATCACATAGTTGTTTGCCTCCTTTTTTAATCTTAATGATAACAGAAATCACCCAAATAGCCCTGATCAAAAGTTTACATACCCTGGAATGTTTGGCCTTGGTACAAATGCACAAGGTGACACACACGGGTTAAAACGGCAATTAAAGGTTAATTTCCCACATCTGTGCCTTTTTAAATTGCAATTAATGTCTAAGTATAGTCAGTGAGTTTGTCAGCACTGAGCAGGCTAGATACTGAGCCATTGGGAGAAGAAAAGATCTGCGTAACAAGGTGATGGAACTTTATAAAGATGGAAAAGGATATAAAAAGATATCCAAAGCCTTGAATATGTCAGTCAGTACTGTTCAATTTTATTATGAAGTTTGGGGATCTCTTGACACAAAGCCAAGAACAGATAGACCAAGAAAGAGTACAGCCAAGGATAGAGAAGGAAGAAAAGAGGAGGAGGAAGGAGGAGAAAACAGCTTAAAAAACAGAAATTGGCTGGAAAAAAAGATCTTGTGCAGCTTCCCACCGTTCATCCATAGAATTAGAAAATGCCAACACATTAAATCCATAAGATGACAGACACTAGACCAAGAGGGGGAGTATCACATCTTAGAGTTAAATCTCTTGCCTCCTACCAAACAGCTCAAATGTTTAAAAACATTTTTAGGCAATTATGGCCAATATAAATAAGCTTATACAAAGGTAAAGCTGCATTGATCATAGACTTCCAAAGAGGAACGGTAGGGGGTTTCTATCATTTCGGTTTAGACAGAATTGCTTTCCTAGCATAGAAAGTGAACAATTTCTTATGGGAGGTAGTGGTCACAGTGTCTTAAATACCAAAAAGGAGGATTAAGGGGTCTACTGCAATGATCATGTCCCCTTGTTAATTGAACAACTCTATCCTTACCCAAAATCATGAGGGGAAGAAATTACTGCACTACTTCCTCCCCCAGTCAGCATCAGTCAGGGTCCCTCTGCCAGGAATGGAATAGTTGAGTCACCTTACCAGTATCATTATTTGTAATCCTAAGGTATAGAAATGAAAGGAGCTTATCTATATTATGGAAAATCAAGAACCTCTTGACTGAAGAGGGAGGTGAGGGGTGATGATGGTGATGGGTGAAGAGAACTGAGCCTGAATGTGGACATGTTGAAGTTGAAGAACCGGAAGAACATCCAGATAGGAAGGTGAAATGTATCTCTAAGACTATTAAAGGAAAGAAGACATCCTTTCAGCATTATATGTTGCAAGGTTTTAACTCCAAATCCTGCCCACACACTAGAGCGGAAATGAGATAACCCCACAATGGAGTGTAGGTAGAGATACAGTTCAATTCATTGGTAGACCTGCACACTTCTTACTTGAACAGTGTTCCACAGTATTCCATGATATTCCGATTGGAATGGGGGCCCCTAAACACTAAGTTACTTAGTTCAGAGTATGATCTCAATAATGCAGTTTCTATGATCCACTGCTGGATTCTGGGCCGATTTTGAAAAAGGAATTAGGAATAGGGACCATGGTGTGTCTAAAAACATTAAGGAGTTTGGGAAGGAAGGTAGTTTCACGGAGGTTTACCCTACCTACCTGGGTCAATGGCAATGTTTTCCAAACAGTACATTTGTGAATCAGTTGTTGGAGAACCAGGTAGAGATTGTCAGATAAATAACTAGAAAGGTCTCCTCAGACCCTAATGCCCAGTTATTTAAAATGGGATGCCCAGGTAAGAGGGGTAGAATTACTGGAAGGATGCTAATTGGGACAATGGAAACAGCACGGACTTACCCCAGTTGACCTTAATACCCAAAAAACTACTAAATACATCAATGACCTTATGGGCTACAGTAAGAGAGGTAGAGTTGTTGCATATATACAGTAAAGTATCATCGCCATATAGAGACACCTTTTCCACCAAAGGTCCCACGGTATACCCTGTACTACATCAGAAGAGCAAAGCAGGATACCTAATTGCTCAAGCCAGGACAAAAAGTCCCAGGGATAGAGGGCATCCCTGTCTAGTGCCCCTCTGCAGCAGGAAAGGAAAGGACAGAACTCCATTCTTTCTGACACTAGCAGTGGAAGCAGCATATAGTAATCTTACCTACGATATAAAAAAGGGGCAAACATTTGCAGGACCTGTCATAGATATTGTCACTAAAAAGAATCAAAGAACTTCTCCGCATCGAGAGAGGCCACTACCCCGGAGGTCTCTGATCTCAGAAAATGTGCAATATCACCATTGAGACAGTTAACTAGAACGTTGGTAAGGATTTAGCATCCACATTTAAAAGTCATATAGGATTATTTAAGGCACAAAGTTCCAGGCCCTTGCTAGGCTTGGTCACAACCACTATAATAGCCTTAGACATCAAGCCATGAGGGATTTGGCATCCAGGGCAGTTTGTAGAAGATCATCAAATCTACAGTATATTTGTTTTATAAAATTTAGAGGGAAGACCATCAACCTCGGGGGTTTTATCAGGTTGAAGGGAGGTTACCATCACTTGAGTCTCTTAGTGTAATCAGAGCCTCCAATAATTGCCAGGATTCAGTGGATATAAAATAGGAATTTTAATGGTATCTAAAAAGACTCTTAGGCTCTCAGGCTTATATTTAGATCTGGAGGAACAGAGTCGTAGTAAGTAGCAAGCTGCATATTATCCTGTATTGGGTCAATCAATAGCTTCCCCTAGTCATTTCTGATATTGGCTCTATGGGTGGTAGTTGTCTGCTTCTCTCCACCTGCTCAAAAATTTGTTGGGACTAATAGAGAAGTTTCTTCTTATATGCGCTGACACGGTGAAGCATCACCAGGTAATTGCATATCCCAGTATTTCCTTTCTTCTTTAGTAGTGGTATATTGGGATTCTAGAGCCTACATCCTAGCCCTGGCCTCAGAGCAGGGGTGGACTGACCATTTGGAAACTCGTGCGCTGCCCGAGGGCCCGGGGGTCAGTAGGGGGCCCCATGAGATGCCCCTAGTACCTTTTTCATAGGCTTTTTTGAGTTTGGGCAAGGACACAGGGGCCCCATGATCCCTTATTGCCCGGGAGCCCCATGAGTTGTCAGTCCGCCCCTGCCTAAGAGAGATCAGTATGAGATTCTCTATGGATTTTACTAATGGTAAGTTAATTCTAGCCATTGGCATATGCCTTAAATGCATCCCAAACCACTGCTGATGCAGCGTTTTGTTGATTATGCAGTCAATAATCCTGAATTGCTGAGGCCACTAAAGGCTCAACTCTATCATCTGAAATCCAGTACCAGGAAAGTCTCCAGAGATTGTTCGCTGATTTAAAGTCAGTGTTCATTCTTAATAGCATTGTGGCATGATTGGTGGTGTATTTTGGTTTTGTTCTGCCCTAGGAAAGACTAAAATCAGGTGCACCCCTATCTAAATTTGTCCTACCCCTTCCTGTTTAAAATCCACCCTGAGAGGACAGGAGGGGGAAGTATGATGGGGTGGCAGCAGGACAGGAGGGGGGAAACAGGACAGGTGGGGAGCAGTGGAACAGGAGGGGGGGGCAGAAGGAAAGGAGGGGGCGGTGTGACGGGGCAGTGGGGACAGGTGGTCAGCAGTGTGACAGGGGAGCAGCGGGATGCATGGGGGCAGCATGATGGGCGGCAGTGGGACAGGTGGGGGCAGCGTGATGGGGGGAGCAGCATGACAGGTGTGGGGAAGCACCAGTCCTCCAAGCTCTTACCTTTCCAGCAGCGGCTCATCCAGATGGTGTCAGGATCTGGTGCCAGGTGCGGTAGCTGAGACCCATCTCCACCAGGATCTCCAGGGGCAGTTGCAACAAAGAGCGGGGGGGGCTCCTCCACCCTGCCCTTCTCCCTTTTTTCTTCCTCCTCCACAGGCCCTCTGCTCCGCTGGCACGTCCTGGCCTCAACCATCCACCACAGCCCGGTGCACACTGCAGATCCTGACTAGAGCCTGGCTGACAGCAGGCCTCGAACCTCAACTGCTCCCTTCACACTCCTCAGATCCACCTACCATCCTGCCCTCCTCTGCAGCTGGTCCCCTGGCCTCTACTTCTGTGTCGGCTCAGCTTCCCCCTTCCCCATGGCGACCCTGCCACTCTCACTCACAGTGTACATTCTGCCTGGGGGAGGCACTGCCCCCCTGTAAAATGCCACCCAAGGCAAGTGCCTTCTTTGCTTTGCGGCAGATATGCCCCTGGGCATGATCAGAAATTGCATGAGGCAGGATAGACATTTCATGAACTCAAGAAAGAATCCTATTACTATTACATAGATCAAAACAGGACACAGAGTGACAAGTAAATAATTTCAGCCTTGGGTATTTCAAAAAAAAGATGCCAGAAAGGCCAAACACATCTCCCCACTTGGAGTGAGTAGAATCCACAACTGAGTCAGGGGTAAGTTTGTCTAGAAACGTCCCGCAATCATACCTGTAGGAAGTCAACTGACTGTAAAGTATACAACATTCGTCCAAGTGTAAACTAGAACTCTAGAAACAAATAATACCTTTTTCCCTTTAATCCTTGCACCTATCCACTACCCAGAATTGCAATCCCACTGATATGCAGGACCGGTGCTTACACTAGGCAAACTGAGCAGGGCACACTGCCACCTAGGGACATCTGGCCGCAGCACAGGCCAGCACTCTCTCTGTGTGGGACACCACCACATCATGAATGATCCTTCAGCTGAGAGGAGGGATGGCAGAGGGGAGGAAGAAAGGACAGAGAAAGATTCCGGGTTTCCGGGGCCAGTGTAGCAGCTGTGCTGCAGCTCCTTCCAGTATTCCTCTCAGACTCAGTCCCTTACTGCAAGCTGACTGATGGCTGCTAATCACTGTGGTGGAGTTCCAGCCCTTCTTTTCCCATTCTTCAGCAGAGGTGGAGCTGTACATGCAGAGGAAGGTAATGTCTGACTCTGATGTCTCGTGCCTGTGTGCGTGTAACCCGGCCGGCCCGACCATCCATCACATGTGCAAAGTGTCAGTGAGAGATGACATCATCACAATCCCACAGCCTGCTCTTCTAGTGCCTGCTGATCTGTGTTAGTGTTGGTGGTGGTGTGTTGTGTCGGATCTGTCCCTGTGTGGGATCTAACTTACACTGGCATATTACATTTTTTGAATGGTATATTGAAGAGAACATTAACCCCACTGGTTTACATATACAAACTTCTCCTAACGTAAAAAATGTGACGATGGAATTTAAGGCAGCCAGGGAAAATGTTCTACAGAGCTGCTCTAGATCCATGATTCAACTTCTCCTCACACTATACAAAAAGGAAATTAATGAGCTAGATGATGAGATCACACTATTATATAGTCAACATCAGATTTTATGTTCGCATCCCGAAATCCTGATGAAGAACAGGGAGTTACAAGAATATCTTGAACGACTGAATGTCGATTTAAGTCAATAAAAAGAACAAAAATTTCTCAAGGATAAGATGGCATACAAATGGCCTGAAGGGTGATATAGACGCCCCTGGGCTCAAAGAAAGGCACAATCTAATAAGAATTTTTACATCCAAGAGCAGGATGGTGTAGAATCTGATTCCTCTAATGCGTCGATTTTTTCTCACACTTCACAGGGCACACATGTGGCTCATTGGAGGCATCGAACATCTTGTAAGAGACCAAAAGATGGGGACAGTCACTTTACAATTATCACATTGGGTAAAAAAAGATTGGTTGAACCAGGTGCTCAGCCCCCCAAAATTAATATACAACCGTCACAATCTAATTCTTCACATATGGGAACTTCTGTCTTCCATGGCACTGGATCTAATTCTAAAGACAACACTCTTGATACACCTTTTTCTCTCTCACAGCTGTCTGTCCACTCTGAATGTGGACAATCTCTCTCTAGTAATGACCTCAACATTGATGTTTCTGGTAGTTTTTTAGGACCACAGTCATGAGCAGATTAGATACATGTACTGCGTCCACCAATAGGCACTATGGAGCAATTTGTGGTCAAGATGGCACCTTAGAACTAGGTTTGAATGTCATTAATCTTTCTTCACGTAATCTTACTTCACTTGAATGTGACTTATTAAGCCTTGGTCTTACCTTTTGCCCTGTTCAACAACTAGATCATTTTGAGATTACTAAGGATATCCATCTCTTTGCATGTAAACTTACATGCTATAAGCCTTTTCTATAATTGTATACCCTCTGTTGTCGGTCTAGGTGTTATCATGGTCATCTCTGTGAATGTATTAAATCCCTTTGCTGCTAACTGTATCCGCCTATTTCATTACATTATAATATATATCTGTACCAGATTGCAGTGCTATTTGTTATGCCTTGTTATTGTATTGTTAAGTATTTTATTCTTGATCGGCTGGCTGGCACCATCCACCATCCAGAAACGTCGACAGATGAAACCCTTCACGTCAGTCCTCTTGAACCGTCACATCAAGTACCAATGGGGCTTTCCATTTAAGCTTACGTTTGCGTACCAAGATCGGAGCCATGTTGTCCACAATACGGAAGAGGCCAAGTCGAACCTGGAGGCGCTACACCTTCTGCCCTCACGGGATACCTCCAACAGCCCGGTGCGGCCCTCTGGTTCCCATCTGCCTTCATCTCAGCTGGGGCGTATATGGGAGAAAGTTTGTAGCCGTAAGTCGACCCTGGAGTTGATAGCCGTAAGTCGACCCTGGAGGCGCTACACATTCTGCACTCGCGGGATACCTCCGACAGCCCGGTGCGGCCCTTTGGTTCCCATCCGCCTTCATCTCAGCTGGGGCGTATATGGGCGAAAGTTGGTAGCCGTAAACGCTTCCTCCCTAGTACCCCTCCGTTTTCCGGATCTTCCTGCTCCGATCCAGGTTGAGTACGGTTGGATAGGTAAGATTTTCCACTTTTCAGATGGCTTGATCCACTGCCGTGGGGCGGAGACCTTGACTGGCCCTTGATGGGCGAACTTTTCGTATGTTTTTGTATGTTGCTTATTTTTAGTTTTACAGTTTGAAATATTCTTCTATGCAATACTGGTCTGTACTGGTGGTGATCCTCGTTCCCCGTCGGCTCCTCGCGGTCCAAATTTTGAGTTGAATTTTTCTTTTTGAATTTTTTTCTTTTTTTTTTTTTCTTTCCGCTAATTTTTTTTTTTTTTCATACTAGGACTTTAGTTATGTGGATCCCGGCTCCTGCCGGCTCCTTGGGTTTTTTTTTTTTTTTTTTGGGGGGGTGTTATTGTACCTCTTTCTATATATCAGGGACCTCCCTGGCTCATGGTCCTATGCCTTATATGATTGGTCCCGGCTTCCACTCTAATGGGGCCGTGACCCGGGAATGCCTCCCTTCTATTTTGCTGATATGTCTGTGTACCTGTTTACATTTTCTTTATATATTATAGTATCATATTATGCATTCTTGAGGTAATGTACTAGACATTGTCTTTTCACCTGTTATGTCCCCCCCCCCCCTTTTTTCTCCCCCCTCCTCTTTTCCCTTCCCCTTTTCTCTCTCCCTTTCCTTCCCCTACCACCTTTCTTCCCCTCCCCATAAAGGTTCTTTTTGTATTATGTTGTTTATGACGCACCCATGTGCCCAGTGGTAGAGCCACCCCCTATGTGTGTCCTTACAGTTGGGACGCAATTTCCACTGATTGTGGTTTCGTTACACTACTTTAGCGTGTACATTTTCTTCTTCTTCTGTCTCTTGTTTCTTGTCTTTTTTTTTTTTTCTCTTTTCTCACGGATCCGGGGCAGCCCAGGGTAAGGTTGCATTTGAGGATTGGACCGTTATTCCTAGCGTATTTTGGCAACTGAATTCCCTTAACTCAGTATGGCTTTAAAACTTTTGAAGATTTTTTCTCAAAATATCCATGGTTTTAATTCTCCGACCAAGCGTTCTAAAGTATTCCATCACCTTAAGTCCCAAGACGTGGACGTAGTCTGCCTGCAGGAGACCAGGTTTTCTCAATCCTCCAAGCCGCGCTACCTCTCCCACCATTATCCGACCTTTTACTCTGCTTTGGCCCTTGAGAAGCATAGGGGCGTGGTGATTGCTTTTAGACGCTGTCAGGAAATGCCTTCCAGTAGTACAAGTGAAGCTCCGCGGCATGCGAATATGTGCATGCGTCGGGTTCTGGCAAGCCGAACAGATGTGCGGGTGCCTGGACAGAAGCTGTGCTGTCACTTATGCTGGCGCCAAGCGGGCTATTTAAGATGGCTGCTGTGGATGTCTCATTGCCGTATGGTCTTTTCCCCTGCTTGTGTTCCTGACCTCTGTGATTGTTCCCTGTTGCCAGAACCAACCTGTTCCTGACTTCCGATTGATCGTCTCCTGCCCTGACTTCTGGCCTGTCCTTGGATTACTCTTCTGCCTGCTCCTGATTGATTGACCTCCTGTTGCTGAACCTGGCCCGTGATCTGACTATTATCCTGCTTGCCGTCCATGCCTGATCTGTCTCGTCTAATACCGAACCCGGCCCGTCTGACTCTGCTTCTCGCTACACGGTGCACCCGCATCCATCCATCCTGCACGGATCCATCTGCACCCTGCTCTGGTCTGCTACTCATCAGTCCAACAGCTATCACGGGACAGATCCCCAGGCCCTCTTGCCCCACCGAGCTCCTGAGACCGCTGTTCCACTCCCAACGGTCCCCAAGCCGGGGTTGTACGAGAGGTCTGCCTCTTCACATCAGGCTCACTACCCAGGTATGGAACAGACGCAATCTGCTATTTACTTGCAACCTGGAAATAGCTGACCCCACCGGTAGGTATTTGCTCCTCCGGGGTACCCTTTGGGACCAGGAGGTGACCCTGGTGGGTTATTATGCGCCAAATAGATTTCAACACAAATTTTTTTCTCACTTGCTGAAGGTGATTTTTCACCACCAACGTGGTATCCTCTTATTGTTGGGAGATTCGAATGTTGCTCTTAATTCCTCTGTCGATCACCATTACCCGACGGGAGGGACCCCTAGCCACGACCTTTCTCAGGAAGCTAAATTGCGTGATACACTGCAAGCTTATGGTTTGGTTGATGTTTGGCAGGAAATGCATCCTACGTCGCGGGAATACACTTTTTATTCGGCCCCACACTTGAGCTTTTCACTATGTCTTTCTGCCATGGCTCGGCCCTCTTTTCTGTGGAGACTCAATGAATCCCTGCTCACCACTCAGTCTTCTTGCTCCCAGGTTCTTTCGCACATTCAATCCTATTTTACAGACAATGTGGGTTCTGTATCCTCAGCCATTTCTCTGTGGGAGGCTCACAAAGCCACCATTAGGGGTCATTTGATTAAAATCGCCTCATCCAGGAAACGGGCCAGAGAGAAGAGGATGTTGGAATTGACCTCGAGATTGCCCGTGGTAGACGCTATCTGGAAAGCCTGCCCGACTACGGCCAATAGGAAAGCTTGAAATGTGGTGGCTGCTGAACTTGATCTTCTCTCCACTACACGGGTTGAGAAGGCCTTACATTGGGCTGGACATAGGTTCTATACATGCGCCAATAAACCGGGGCCAATGTTGGGCAAGAAACTTAATTTGCTTGGTTGCGCGCATAAACCTGTTCAACTCCGAATGAGGGGTGGTGGCCTTACCTCGGACTCTGTGAAGATTACTCGTAGATTGCAGATTTTTTGTCCTCTCTTTACCAAAAACCAAACACCTTTGTCTCTGAACATGCTGATAGCTTTTTTGCTGAGCTATGCCTACCCTCTTTATCCGATGCAGCCCGAGATGCCCTGAATGCAGATATCTCTGAATCTGAACTCTACCAGGCCATCAAATCTTTGAAGGCCTCCAAGGCTCCAGGCCCAGATGGGTTCTCTGGGCTCTACTATAAAAAATTTGCCACCGTTCTGGTTCCTCATTTGACGGCCTTTTTCAATTCTTTGAAGCAGAGTTCCCGGCTTTCTTTGGAGTGTCTTCAGGCGCATATTACTATGATCCCTAAGAAAACTGAAGATGCCTTTGAACCGCAAGCTTTCAGACTGATCTTGATGCTAAATGTGGACTTGAAGATTCTGGGAAAGGTTCTGAGCACCCGATTTAATAAATATCTACTCTCACTTATTCATCGAGATCAGGTTGGCTTCGTTCCAGGGCGACAAGCTGCTGATAACATCCATAAAGTCATCCATCTCCTTCATATTTTACATATTTTACATTTATTTGGGCTCATAAACGTCCCAGAGTGCCTAGAGCCACTCTGTATAGATTACAGGGAGGTTTGGTAGTTCCACACATTTCTAGATACTACTTGGCGGCTCAGATTTCCCAGTTGTCTATGCTTCATGCCACGACAGATATCCCATTATGGGTACTCTTGGAATTACCCAACTGTGCTCTGCTTTCCTTAACTACATTGCTTTGGCTCCCAAGTTGCGTCCTCCGGATTTGAGCCCGATCATGCTTCACAGTTTACGAACCTGGGATTCTGTAAAATATTCGGGTAATTTGATTTCGTAATTTCTACCTCTTTTGCCGATTACGCATAATCCTTTATTTCCACCAGGCCTAGCACATCCCCCTTCTTTCTCTGTGTAGACATCCCATGGCTTTGTTATTGTACATGATTTTCTGAGCGCTCGTACGTTTCCATCATAGGAGTCTCTAAGAGAATCAAGGGGGGTCCCGCCATGGGAATATTTTCGGTATTTGCAATTGCACCACTGCGTCCTCTCCCAACGCCTTTGAACACGCCTGTCAGCATTCCCCAGGGTCCCCTGGTCTTATTTCTGTAATTTATGCCTCTCTTAACAGTAGGTCCTCCTCACCACCTCTGTCTTTTGTCTCTAAATGGGAGCGAGATCTGGGTGTCTCGATTGGCGTAGGGCCTGGGGGATGGTGGCGAAATTTTCATTCAATACAGTCACTCTTGAGGCAGCCTACAAAGTTCTACTGCGGTGGTACTGGGTCCTGGCCCGGACTGCTCACTTTAATCCAACTGGCGGAGATGGGTGTTTCTGAAACTGTGGTCTACGCGGGGACGTCTTGCACATTTGGCGGTCGTGCCCACGATTGATAGGCTTCTGGTCTAGGGATTTTGGTTTGCTACAAACGCTATTTAATATTACGGTCCGTAGGGATGCAAGGGTGGCCCTCTTGCATTGCCCAATTTTGGGGGTGGGTCTGTCTAGGTCTCAGCAGAAATTGGCATCCTACCTATTTATTTCGGCCAAACGTGCTATAGCTTAAGCTTGGAGAACCCCTTCGGTTGTCTTCCAGGGGGTGAGGACCTGGATGAATGCTATGTTGTTCAATGAACAGATGTCTAGCATTCTTCATGATTCTCATCCGAGATTCCTTAAGGTTTGGGAACCTTGGATACGGTATTCCTTGCCATCCTTGCCTCCTACTAGTTATGGCCTCTTATAGTTGCTGCCTGTGCTAGCCCTGGATCCATGATCCTTTTAGTGCAATATTTTTGTGAAATACCTGATGTTGCTGTCGGTTTCCTTGCTCTTCAGTTTAAAACTGACCATGCTTGGCATGAGAGCACATCCTTCCAATCTGTTTTATGGCTATACTTGGGAGCGCAGCCTGCTTGTCCTCCAAAGAACCCACTTCTGCTGACACCCCTTTGAACAGCCATTCACTAGGAAGGTCAGTTAACTACTGTTTCTGCACCCCTGGCTCTCTTGTGCCGCTGCAAATACAGATTACATGATCAAGTATAAATTATATAAATTTTTTTCCCCTATATTTACACAACAGTTTTGTCTTTCATTTACATTTCAAACTAAATGGGTCGTTTTACCAGGCAAAGGTTTGCATATAATTTAATGTGAACACACAGCTTAGACAATTTTGTTGTTGCAGAGAAATGTCTAAAGAGGTCCCCAATATGTGCA